TCTATATAATATATATCTAATATATATATATACGTATATATATATATACATACATGCATACATATATAAATATGCTGTGATAGTTCTTTTGCGGGGATTGTGCGACTGTAGTTTATAGTGGTGCTTAGGTATGTGGTAGTTGTGCTGGTTGTCAAAAATCAAAGCAGTATACTATGCCAAAGATCATATCATCGTGCTAGTATCAAACTATTAAATGCGAATTCATACAAGATTATTATCATCCTGTCGATTAAAACTATCGCACTTATTTTTTCGATGATAGCAGATTTGGAGAAACCTCCGTGACTATTTCCCGGCACAGTCCTGATCTCACGGATTTCAAAGTAGGTGAAACGGCAGACATTTCTGGACTAAATCCCGAAAATCCGGAGTCAACAGAAATTAGACATAGTTCAGACCCAAATCCTTGCGAAGGCGTGTGTGATAAGGAGCAGGTCACTTTAGAATTGACGAAACGGTTTCAGGTCGAAGTTTTGGCCCAGGTGACTGCCGAGGGGATGGTTGCGGATACGCTGTCTGTGAGTGAAGAAGGCGATGTAAAACTGGGCCAGGCCGATTCGTACTTAGCCTTCTGTTTCAGGGTATGGGGTGGTCTATTGATATATTGATATATATATGTGTGTTTGTATTCAGGATATCAACGGTACATACAGGCGCTGTATAGTTAGTGTAGACATATCTACGCGTGCGTGTGTGAGTATCAGTTGAACAGGCGGCAGTGGATACAATGTACGTGATTGCAGAAGGGTACGTAGCACTAAGCCAGGCGGTCGCATATCAACCCTAGTCCTCTGTTTCAGCGTATGTGGCAGTGGGCATGTATGGTATGGTATGTATGTAGTATGCAAAAGTTATCTACACAGTAACACTTGCATACGTCTAAGAGGGTGCGGGTGGATTAGATGCTGTGTCTGTTATGTGGACGGCAGGGCACGTCTCTGTCTGTGAGTGAGTCGAAGTAAACCAGCTGGTCCCACACTTAGCCTTCTTTTTCAGCGTATGTGACAACGGGTAGCATACATAGTATGTGTTTTTATGTAGTAAATGACTGTCACGCACGCCATTGCAGAGGTATTAGTGTGTAGATGTGGGGGTATGTCTTAGAGGATTGTGTTAGTGTAGGCAGGTGTTTGGGGGGGGGGGGGAGTTGGTGTGTGAGTGCGGGTGTATGGCTTTAGGTGGTTATGTGGGAGTGTAGGTGTGTGTGTGTGGTGGGTGGGGTGGGGGGT